ATGTTTACAAGCGTTCAAAAGATTGGGAGTAGGGTTGGTACTGTTCACATTTTAACCCATAGCAGTACCTGAAATTCGGTGCCGGTACCCAACGGTACCTTTTTTCTGTCCTTAAGGCATGTTTACCTCAATAGCTGTAATGAAACTATAGTCATTTTTAGAAGTGTTATTGACATTATGCCAGAGCTGCCTTGCCAAACAAAATCATTACATTTATCTTGCCTAAATGTTTGCGCTCATTGCATTTTCCAATGGGGTAATATTGCTGTTAAGATTTACACAACACGAGGCTTGATTTAAATTGTTTAATTAAATTGAAAAAAAGTTGCACAAATAAATACAATAGAATAAAGATACAAATAAAGACAAATAAATAGAAACGTTTTTGAATAGGTCTAACACTAGTAGGCTATTCATATGCAGAAACTGAATAAAGTATTCAAATGGAAAATAACACCATAGTACACCATGGGTAGTATTTTAGTCCTGAATAAATGAAATGCATAGGCTTTTAATCCTGATTCCTTTAACTTAAAGCTCTCTTTTGTTGTTTTGACGTCAAAATAAATGACCGACACATGCCAATCTGCTGCTGTCTGTCATTAATGTTATAATGTCAAAAAAAGAAAAGAAAAAAGAAACATCACTGCACAGATGATTAATCTATACAGTGAATACTGTAGTGTTATTTTACATTTAATTATTACATTTCTGTACCTGAATACTACTGTTAGACTACTTGATTTGTAACTTCGTTATATTGTATTTATCTTTGCTTTAAATGAAATGCAAAGTAGTGTTGTGACGGTGAGGATATTTTCTCACCGGTTAATCGACGTGTGACAACACCGGTAATACCGGTGTCTCACCGCGGGGGCTTTTAAATCGCTAATTTAAAGGCAAACGTAAAATGCGCACGTTTTCACGGACATAAATACGGCGCGGTAGTGCGGGAAAGAACTGTTTTGTTATTGTGCCCTGAATATGCGCTAGTTTGAAAACGAAACTAACTTTCACTTTTAAATTAGCGTCAATTCATCCTTCGCTTGGAGTTTGATTGACAGACAAGATCTGACAGGATCAGTCAGAAGTAGTTTAATGTCGGTGGAACTTGGCTTTATCAGACAATCTGTCCTGGCACATTAAAGAGCCACAAAACGGTAAGCCTATTTATTGTTTGATTTTTTTTTTTTTGACTGACCAAATTTGAAAGTTGAGACTGTTTCATATTAAATACCTGCTTGGTCCTGTCTGTCAACGCGTTGTCAGTGTCCTCTATTTTTCACTCCTCGAGAACATGGGTTGAATCCCAAATCGCCCCCTAAACCCTCATTTACTAGGCCTATTCCCTTCATTAGTCCACTAATACTGTTCACTTGAAGGAGTGAATGAGAAGTAAGTAAAAACGAGTGAGCGAATTCAGACAGCCGTTGCTGACAGAGACGCGATCTGACACGCGTCCCATTTTCTCACAAATCTCTACGTTGGTTTAAGACTTCTCTTATGGACATTTTGGCATAATTTGTGTGTTATGGTTTGTTCAACCCCGAAAGAGAACTCGATACCGACGCGCGTCTTTTCTGTGGGTGTGTGTGTGTGTGTTAATAGGCAGGATTTAACGACTACTGCATAATTGCGTTCAATATTTTTAAGGCTTTAAACTTTTTTTTTTCACATGCCAACCGCCGTGCCGCGGTGGGCATGTCATGAAACCGGTGTTGCGACTGAACACCGGTAACACCGACTACCGTGGCAAGCCTAATGCAAAGTTACTGTACATTATTAGATTTTTTTTTTTTTTTTGCTGATCCAAAAAAGTATCCGATCCGTGACTCAAAAGCCATAATATGATCCGAACCGTGACTTAAGTGATCTTTTGCACCACTAATATCTTCTACAAACATAATGTTTCATTTTTTTTTTTTTTTTTTTACTTGCAGTCTATATGCAGGTTGTTGATGGCACTTAAAGTTGAAATTTGTTAAAGGGGGATGAATGGAGTGATAATTTAAACTGATATGACTTGCTCTCAGCCTGTGGGCATCTTTTGTCTATGTGTGTGTCTCTGTGGTGTCCGTTCTCTAGGTTGCTGTTATTTCTGTTAGCATAGAGTGATCGAGGTCAACGTTGTCCTAAGAGGAAGACATCACACTGATATTAAAAGCGCCCGTCAAATTGCATTGTATCAGAGGGAGAAGGAGCCTTGCTCTAGTGAGAGGACAAATACCTGCTCCCCCATCGTGACCACTGAGCTGAGGTTCAGGAGTTTCACAGGAAATTGTCTTTTTGGGGATAGGCCTGATTGTTTCAAGAGTGTATATAGCACATAGGAGTATTTTATTTAATAAGCTTTTTTCGTTAAAAAAAAGACATTGTGTTAGCGTTTTGGCCTAGCCTTGAGAAATGGTGTCCAGGTTGGCGACAAGGTCAAGCCCACATCATTTCCTGGTCCTGTTTTACTATGCAACCTCTTCATTTCCTGTCTTTGAGTGAAAAAAAAAAAAAAAAAAAAAAAAAAATCAGATTTATTTAAATGTCAAAAAACAAGTATATTTATAATTTCTCAACATGTGCTCTTTAAATGAGAACAGAACATGGTTAATCATAGTACATTGGTCATGCATTTTTTTGATTCACTAGAAAGTACCACTCATAAGAGTCATTTGTTCACTCTGTGATAGAAAATAGGAAGATAGCGCAACAGAGCGTTTTGTTAGGCGGGGTGGCTCATCGTTAAGGGCACATGCCACCTGCTGTGGAAAAGATGACCACATCCCAGCACTCCTATCAGACAAGTTAGCCTTGTCCTTTTCCTTTCAGCAGTTGACATCTTAATGGATTTCCCTAGTTGAGGGTTTACTAAAAATACCTTAAGAGGTAGAGAGGGTGGGGATAGGGAATTGATGTCAGACACCTCACTATTTTACTTCGTGAAAGACGCCTAAACAGCAATTTTTCAGTGTCATGGTATTTTATTCTCCCGTCTATAAAAGAAGTGGCGATTTTTCCATCTCCGGAGTGCTGCGATGCTGCCTCATCAGGGCAATTCAGCCGCAAGGCAATATCCTTAAAACCACCAGTTTCCCATTAAACACTGCGGCGGTGAATCCACACATGAATTTGATAGCTGCTCTGACCATAAATCTGGCTGGCTGCAACATACAGAGTGTAAGATGTATACATTTAAAGCCAAAAGGGCTTGCATTTGCAACAGCTGTATTTTTATTTACTAACATTTACAAATGTTAAAAAATCGTGGTTGGTTCATGTTAGCTAATACATTAACTGCAGTTAACAAATTAAACCTTATTGCAAAGTGTTACCAATTTTTTTTTTTTTTTTTTTTCATAATAAAAGCGTAATGTTATAATGCAATTATTAAGTAGTACTTCTGTGCCAGCTGCTGTATTTTGCCACTGACTTTTAAAGGAATATTTTATGCCTTCATGTCAGTGTTAGCTGATGATCACAGTACAGACAGGAACAGTATTGTTCAGATGTCCGTCCAATGCTCTGGCTGTATGCTGTGCTGCACACTTTCATGAGCAGAGATTGAGAGGTTTCCCTAAAGACTGCATAATCATTCCAGCCAGCTCATTAGGCCCCAGAGCAGTCCAGTGGCCCCGCTGGGGGTGCACGTCAAACTGGCACTCAGCCCACGGTTTCAAGGCCAATCAACCCACTTCAGAAGGAAAGACGGGGAAAAGACGGGATTCAGAAAGGGAGAGATAACAAGATACAGAGAAAGAGGAATGGAGATCTACGCAGAGGGGGGTCGTAATGTTCGTTCTCACCCCCTCGAGGTGCAGAGAAATTGAATAATCAAGCTGGATCAAGCTGGATTTTATAGTACCTCTGACAGCGCAGCCATGCTCACAAAAACCATGACAGCTTTCATCAGTGTAAACAGGATCTACTCATCATCCAGATAGAGGAGGTACAAGTATGACTGTTAGTCTGTGACTGGGGCAAAGAACTAGTTCCAGAATCTTCCTGAACGAGATATATATATATATATATATATATATATATATATATATATATATATGAAGAGTTCAGATGCAAAAGCCTCTAAGTGCCATTTGAAATTTTCTTCTAGAATGATCATTTTTATCAAGCTTGTATATTTAAGTTCAGTGATTTCACTTAAATGGCAATGATAATTACCTATTAATTGTTATTTAAGTGAAATTACTGAACTTAAATATACAAGTTTGATAAAAATCATTAAAGAAGAAAATTGCAAATGGCATTTAGAGGCTTTTGCATCTGAACTCTTCATATATATATATATATATGTATATATATATATATATATATATACACAGAGCAGCATGAGTGTGCTGAGATTATGGCTGATTTAATATGATTATTATGGTAGCTTCCTGTCTCAATTTGTTCCTCTTCTTGTTGATTTGCCCACAGAGATAATGTAGCAAACCAAAAATTGACAAAAAAAACTTCATTTCTTTACATAAATATA